TTCTTTCTTTCTTTCTTTCTTTCTTTCTTTCTTTCTTTCTTTCTTTCTTTCTTTCTTTCTTTCTTTCTTTCTTTCTTTCTTTCTGTTATCCATTTCTACAACATGTGAATTTTAGAGTTAGCTGTGTGCTTTATAAAACTGTTAGTGATTAATCAGAACTGGAACATTACTGATAATGTAATGATCTGGGGAAAAACATCCTAACAGTCCTGAATGCAGTTCTGCTTATCCTGAAGTAAGATTGACAAGCCAATAAATTTTCTAAATAAATAAACTGCCAACAAGCTTTTGGAAAATTTGGAAAAAAAGAGATGCAATGAAGTTGATCAAAGAACTGGAATATATTCCTGGTGAAGAAATGAATATTTGGAATTTTGAAACTTAGAATGAAAGTGAGGAAGGAGAACATAATGGAAATATAACACAGATATAGGGAAACTTAAGACTTCCTCACGTAAAGCTTAGCTTCTGGTTGTCTATGTACTGTAGATTCTCAGTCAATAAGGTCATGATTGTCCCAAAGGTGCTTTTACAAAAGGCAACTAGACTTCCATTTTTTTTTCCTAGAAGAGGTTTCACTTCTCAAACAAGGAAAGTCCAGTTGCCTTTTGAAAAGTCACATTTTCAACTTAGCTTTGACTTTTCAAATGGCAGTCGCCATCTGAGGACTAGCCAGGTTTGATCTTGCTTAGCTTTTTAAAGATCAACCAAATTCAACAAAGTACAACAAATGCTAGTACCCAGAATCACCGAAGTAATATTGATGGTGAAGAATTTGGGACAGATAAGGAAAGGTATGTCAGGCAAGGTAGGAGCACCTGTGGAATTCCTTTCTATAAGAACTATATCAACTTGATGTCCACCAAACAGGATAATTTGCAAAGGAACTTGGACAAATAGAAGTGAAATAAAGCTATTTATATTGAGCTGTAGTATATCATGTCATGATTAAGTTCCTACACTATGCTAAGTGATACTGTGTGTTCTATTTACTGCAGTGTGTTGAGTAGTCTATGGATGAAAATTGTGGTTTGGCAAGGTACGAATCTAGCTTACATAATCCCTCAACAGAAATAATAGAATTTCAGATGCCAGTGGTTGTTGACAGTGAAACAAAGATGCTCAAATTTTTGCCCTGCCTATAGGCTTCTCAGGAGGTTCTGATTAGACACAGAAGAACAGCATTCTGGATTAGATAAATATTTTGGTTTAATATGGCAGTGTTGTTTTTTTAAAATACAAGGAGAGACAATTCTACAGATTATCCCAGTAAAATACTTTTTAAAATTTATTACATTTATATCTCACTTTCTTCTAGAAGTTTGTGGACTTCGTCTTTCCTAATTTTGTCCTCTACCTATGAGAATGGCTGGGCTGAGAAAAAGTAATTGGTTCAGAGTTCATGGTGAATTTACAGCTAGAATCTAGGCTCCCTAAGCCGGATGAACAATTTCACCATATAATTTGAGCTAAATTTGATAATTTATCTCTTAAGAATTTATTAAATTTCTCATTTTATTGTCAGATGAGAATGGCTGACAGTAAACTGTAATGTTAGATTTTTTCCCCCTTGTTCAAGGCCCTGATTATGCAATGTTCAATAGGAGGAAGAATAAATAATAACAAAGAACATAATGCAGAATAAGAGGAAGATAAGCCTTAGGTATGCTATTAATAGTGCCATCCATCTGGTAAACTCGCAAGATTCATTCCTCTCACCATGTACATGTATACATCTGAACTAGACTGTATTGTTTCTCTGTGTCATATATGTGGGTATATGCATAAGTTAGTATTTATTTACTTTGTCATGCATATGTAGTATATATTGGAGGTGGTAACCTTTTGAGAGCTATATGCAACGAAATTTAATTTTAACATATGCTGTTTAGTACACACTCAAATAAAGTGATTCTATAAAGTTATTCTAAGTTATTCTACTTCTACTTTCCAAGATGGATCTTTACATAACCAAAAATAGCTCTACAATCACTAACTCAACAGTGCAAAAAATATATACTATTTGGGTATTTTGGGAGCTTAAGTGTCCAAGTAAGCTTTTTATTTTTAAAAACGCTGAAAAACTCCATTAAAAAGGAGTGAGGGGAAAAAAGAGGCTCAGGAAATTTCATTCCACTAAAGTCTTCAAAAAGCAAAGATGAAAATTTTCATCTTGCCCAAGCTAATGATATTCCTTAGTAATTTTTCTGTTGTTGGTGGTGTTTGTTTGTTTGTTTGGGGGGGAGGACCATGATTATTTTTTCAGAAGAGAGCACTGTGATGCTGAAAAATGTCTGACAAGACCATGATA